TTGTGTTACAATCATTTCCGGGATAATCATGGCAAACAATTTTTATAAATACTTAATATAAACATAATATTATCTTAGTATCTTACTTCTTACTATCTTATCTTACTTTTTACATAAATTCGAATGTTTAAATAGCTATATTGAACAACTTTTTCGCTTTGCATAGGACAGGAATGGGTTCGCTGAACTGACGGCCAACCAGTAATGGAGAGGCGTTAGTAGAAGAAGAAGATGGATATATAGATGGTTTGTTTGAAGGTATCTTTGAAACGGTTAAATAGATCTCGCTGAAATTTGGCATAGACGTGTAACATAGTCTGGAAGAACACGTAGGCTTCTGGTTGAGTTTTTTTTAATATCGCGCGGACGGAGTCGCGGGCGACAGCTAATACTATATACAAATGAGTTGGCGTAGATAATGTTGAATTTTTAAGACAAAAATTTTATACAAAATACTTTTTGAGGCAAACAAGATAAATTCGTTATTTTTACTTTGAAGTATACTAGAAAACATTCTTAAGTTTTATGGAAAAGGGTTAGTCTCCTTTATCTTACTTTTACTAGAGAAATTTGAAATAAAGAGAATAAAGTTAATAAATTTAGTCAAAGTTTACTTTTATCTTTGCGTTTTTTTTAAAGATTAAAACAAGATTTAAAGGTAAGTAGAATAATTTAAATATTTTAAAACTTAAATTTATAATTAGATAAATTTTAAGCACAATAAGAGATAGCAGTCAGAAAATCAAGATTAACTAAGATATTTCTAAAACCACACTTTTACTAATTTTCGTTTAACATTTTGTAAATACATATTACTAATATTATTATATAAATGCGAATGTTTGGATGAATGGATGGAAGTTAGAAAGTATCTCCAGAATGTAATTTGGTATGCCTGTAGAACGTAGCCTGGAAGTTACTTAGGATGTTAATTAAGTTTTTTAAATTCCGCACGGACGGAGTGGCGGGCGATAGCTAGTTTTTAATGAATATAAGTATTAAGAAATGTGATAAAATTAAAGGATAAATATAGAGTAAATTATTATACTAATTTAGACATGAAATAGTCGATATAAAAATTGTTTTGTCGTGGAAATGGCTTTTTATTTTGTTTTATACACAAAATAAAATGTCAACCGCATATAAATTGGCCGTTTCATTTATTACTCGCGGATACGAGATTTTTAACACAATGAATTAAAAAAAAGCACAACTTATGTAAACGCTTTATTGTAGTCTCGTGGACAAACGCTTGTATTTTGGTACATCGTCTGTGAAATTACTTTTTGTACTGAACATTAATTCGTTTGTTAATATATATATATATATATATATATATATATATATATATATATATATATATATATATATATATATATATATATATAAATAAAAATAAAATAAAAATTCTCCTCTGGGTATTAAAAAAATAAATGGCATTTTTAAAAACTTAAAAATTTTACACCTTCTGGGGCAATTTTAATTTTCTTTAAAATCTTTGTTAGTTCTATTGTTTATTTTATTTCATATTGATAAAGGGTTATCGACGATAACATAATAGCTTTTTTAAATGTAGCAATATTTGTAGGTCATTGGTTACAAAATTGCCCCCGTAGGTGTAAAATTTTTAAGTTTTTAAAAAATGCCCTTTATTTTTTTAATACCCAGGGGAACTTTTATTTTATTTTTCTGGTGACCCTTGTGACCAACCCTATCATCCCCCTTCCTATGTACGTAACCTTTTGGGACACCCTGTATATATATAACATTAAAATTGCAGTGTTCCTGAATGAAAAAAAAAACATTTTTTTTAATAATTTGACATTAGAAATGAAAGCTGAAACTATTATTCTTTAAATTGAGCAGAAGTTCATTAAGCTGACAATATCTTTATTTCCAATACCGCAATCCGCCAGTTGAATACCACGTTATCTTTATCACGGAGTTAACAGACAAGGGTTAACATGTAAATCAATTACAGGTTATCCTTTGGTTGTTTATATTGGTCAAACTTTTGTTTTAGTTACATTAAACTTTAACGTGAACCCATATCAGTTTCTGTGACATGTATAAAGAACTAGCTGTCGCCCGCGACTCCGTCTGCCAAACAGACTATGTTCAACATCCATGCTAAATTTTAACGTGATCCGTTCAGTCGTTCTGGAGATACCTTCAAACAAACTTCCATCCATCCATCCAAATATTCTCGTTTACAATTAAGAAGTAAGATGTGGCACTAAACTAGTCAATTTTATTGGCCATTTACATCGCATTTTAGATTCTCTATAGATATGTAACGAGTAAAAATGTATGTCTATAATTGGGATCGAAAAATGTAAAACAGATCAGCGTAAAATGGTCTTGTTATAGGTCATAGACACGTTTATAAGAGAGTTAAATAGATAGAACGGGGGTTGCTAAGAGGGTAGATTAAGAGTAAGAAAGTATGGATAAGTAACAACAAAGCTGGCTGGTAACTTTATACATGCCTTCCAAATATGTAAATTTCGATGTATGTATTGTCAATCATTCCGGTCTGTAGGCATTCTATCGGGCTACATAATAAAGATCACAGAGAATCGATACGGGTAAAATTGCTTCATCCCAAACAAATACGAATATGGACCGCTTTGGCCCCTTTTATAACAAATAAAATAGTATTAAATTGTACTTCAACAAAGACCTTTGTCTGTATTCAGTTATTAAAAATAAACTATTCAAAATTGATGAGCTCTGTAGCCGTTACGTTAAAGAATAGTCTTTCCTACCTTTGTTTAACTGTTTTCAATATTTATAACCTTTAAAAAAGCAAAAAAATTATGTCATAATTATTCGATAATGTTTATTATCAATCATTTTAAAAATATTTAAACGCACATAATGTTTTCTTCATACAGTAATTTTATTTTTTTATGTAATTTTGAAAGATTATTTAAGACGACGTTCTTACTTCAGATATTATTTGATAGTAACAATGGAGTAACATATGAAATATATAAAATGTCTGTCATCTGTTTATATGTTGCCCTCTCATCCCTTAAACCATTGTTAAATCCACAAGTCATATTTACGGAATCACCCCAATACGGAAATATATGGTTTGACGTCCCTAATACACTCAAGAGTTAAATTGGGTCATTACAGATATATAATTTAATTCTGATGCTCTGCTATTACAAAGTGGTTCGTAGTAATCGGTATTGAAATTATTGAATATTTCGTGAGACATAATAATAAACTTATAAACAAACAGTTAAAACGATCACATATATTCATCCGGTGGCGGCACCGATTAGTTTCGAGCCCATCTGGATCCCTTCATTAGGGTGAGTTGGACTGGTATTATTTCGTGGACGCGGTCCTCAGCTCACTCGCCACCGGATAAATATACGTCAGTGATTTAGCCGTTTTTTTATAAATTTAATCGGCATTTGGTTTGTTACGTCAGGAACAAGAGTAAGTACTTTTCCAAGTGCCCAAAGTAGTTCCAATTAAAGAGAAAAGTAATACCTTGACTTGTGTTCTTCTGACAAAAAGGAGAGTCTATATGTATTGTAGGTTTAATAAGAACAGAATTTAATTTGTAATTATAGATGTACGTGTTTTAATATAATAGTTATAGTAAGTTGTGTCTGTAAACTGTATTCACCTAAGTCTTTTTATAACGAAACAATTATTTACAATGCTACGCATACGTAGCAGGTCTACGCCGTAGTTTGAAACATTTTAAAGTACATGATAAGTAACATTGTTATCTCTCCTTTTTCATAAAGAAGAGAGAAACAATATGTCGTTGTACATATATTTTGGCATTCATGTTTTATAATGCAATTTGAATATTAAACGTAAAATTTATAATTTTCGATAAATCGTATAAATTCGTCAAAGTCACAAATGATTGAGAGATCGCTGAAGATGAAATAACAAACAACACTTAAACAATTCATGTGAAACAATATAATAAATTGCTTTCCAAACAAAACATTTATAATAATTTAACAGCAAATCATATATTCCTGTCTATGTTCTCTCGTTTTACACATTAGTTTAAAAATATGGATGAGTTTTTAACTGTTAATGTTTGTAAGTTCTAAAATATTGTAAGTAATTCATAGCTGGAAGTATTACTTATAAGATTCTGTACCAATTCATCTTAATCTACATTAACTAACTCAATGAACGAAGATATTTTCATGGCCGTTAATTCTGACAATTTATGTACATGACATTTGTACAATAAACATCAATTCTCCTCTTTTGTCTTAAAAAGCATCTTTTTTTTATTATATATTTTTCATATTATATAAAAGATTTAACAAAGAATTTTATCTCGCCAAGCTGTAATCTTAACGTCGAGACGCGCTCGTTATCATCTGCGGTGTTAAATGTAAAAGTAGCTTTAAGGTTTACCGTGATATTAACGGAAAATTAAAAAAATAAATTAAATATTCCAATGTGTTTTGACCAAAACCGAGTGATCCGTTTATATTGTGATATGAAATATTAACAATTTCAAATGTAACATAAACTTTTCATATAACGACATTGCGCAATGAATTCAAACACCATCCATCTTGTTCTGTACTCCTAGTACTCCCTGGCTCTGTTCCAAACTGGTTCTGTTTTGGTTTATATCCAGACCTTACTTTGTTAATAATGGTAAAATTCTTATTCATTACTTTATAAATATCAAATAATTACTAAACGGAACTTAAATATAAAAAAGGTAAGTTTTGTTTTATCCTTTTTAAAAATGTCGCATGTATTTAACACGGTTACCGAAGAGTTTGTTCATTGTTTTTAAAATAAATTTCAGCTTGATACCTTCATGCGTTTTCGAGAAAAAGAGTCTTGACAGACAGACGGACGGACAACAAACTGATCCTATAAAGGTTCCGTTTTTTTTCCTAAGAGGTACGGAACACTAAAAATGGACTACATGTCAAATCTGAAAATTGGCACATATATTTTCACTATCATAGTATAAATAAAACAAAATATTGAGCTTACGTTACTAATGTTAAAAATATTACAGTCATAAAAATATATTTTGTACATCATTCTTAAGCAAAGTTTCACCCACAAATCATTTCCACACGTCACACTTTGGTTGTGTTGTCATTTTCTAGAGTATTATTAAAGCTTTGAATCGAAACTGAAACTGTACCTAGAAAAGAAAAATACGATTAGAATATATTCTTAATGCATTTTTTTTTTCTAACATGTAAACGTAAGATGCATTCAGCCAGCATTGCTACGAAATACAAACAAAAAAGGTTATATATAAGCCTCTAACTACTTTCATACAAACAACAACAACAATCCTCAATAATTCGTTAATCAAAATTAATGGTTTACCAACTGGTATAGTGAATAAGTTGTTTTGGATATTAATTTGGGGTTCCCTGTGGATTTTTGCTGAATTTTGTCATTTTGCTTGAAACCTTGAACAAACCTAGGAAAAAAGAACAACAAATAGTACATAGGACATACACAATCATTTCAAATGTAAGTCAGTTTTAATATTTTTTATTTAATAAAATGTTTAATTACAGTATTCGGTTATTTAGTATTGCTAGTTATTTTTTTTAGTCTGTGGGATGAAAATTGTTGTTATTCTGTATTCATTCAAAACTTATTAACGAATCAGTAGTGAGAAGTGTTAAATTTTACATTGAAAAAGTTTTAAATGAATTAAAACTTTTTGACTAAAACTTTACTGGAACGCTCAGTATTTCAAAATTTAAGTGATTAGAACTTTGGAGTTTAAGATCGCTTACAGATTTTATTTAGTGGTAGAAATAATCTACTTAACATATTTGTGATTAACAAAACATCGATCTTAGTCAATTAAATATTCTCGTCTTAAATCGTAATTGCTCGCGTAATCGTCAATGAATCGTAAATGTAGAGCAAAAAAGGGTCTTGACAGACAGACGGATGCACAACAAAGTGATCCTCTAAGAGTTCCGTTTTGCGGAACCCTAAAAACAACACAGGTTACATGAAAGAATCCTTTTTCCTAGCAGTACTGACATGAGTTGACAGGTTCAATTCAGTTATTTGTTTTTGTCATGAAAGTTCTCAGCATAATATCTGTGGGTACCGATTGTAATATAATACTTATTGAGGTTATTGATATATATTGCCATCCTTTATCATCTCTTTGCTAAAATAGAGACAACTGTATGTTATGGAAGTAACATAGAGTATCGATGAGAATCGTTAAAATGAATATTACTTTATGTAAGTGTATATTATTTACATAATTTATTTATTTTAAATAAAAATATACTTACTGGTTCCATTTTTCTGTGTAGGTGAATATGAGTGGAGCGATCTGTCCAGATGTTGCAATTCATACATGCCCTGTCTACGCGCGTCTTTGTCACCAAATGCGCAACAACATCTTATGAATTGTCTAAATCCTCTTCTAAATCTGAATTTAAATACAAATTTATTTATATTTTATTACGTTTAATCGACGGAGGAGAGGATGCACAGATTCCCTTTCCATTCATCCTCTCATCCGGAAAGTCCACTTCCACTTGCCATCCTTTTCTTATAAGAAAAAGGGTGGAAAGTGAAGAAGGACTAAATTAGGCCTCCGGGACGCACACAGCTCAACTTATTTTAACGCTATGGAAATTCACATAGCACGATGTTACATCGTTTAACGTAGTGCTTACACTGAAGGCCTTAGCCCTTCGACACGAGACAACGTAAATGTACGAAACCGGCGTTTTAGTTGCTAAGCGATTTACGTATCAAAGACATTCTAGCGATGCAACCATACTATATAATTATAGTTTCGACGATTTACGTTGCCTCTGTACGAAGAGCCTAAGGCGATATAACATTATATTACGCGATGTAAGGTAACATATGTGTCATAATCATGTTACATCGCATCGTCGTGTTACATTTTACGTCAAACTTTATTACTAGAATTGTTTAGAACTTACTTAAAATTCATACAATAGAGTATAATTGGATTTAACATTGAATTACTCATCGCTAGCCAATATATGGCGAGGTATATCTCTTGTATGGGAGGATAATTCGTTATTTCAGGATAATTCGAGGTGACGATAAAATAAACGTGAAATGGTAGCCAGCACACCGCGAATATTACTACGATAACAATCATCATCTTCACAACCTGGAAATATCAGAGACAAATATAAATCAACTTCTTGCCCATTGTACCTTATACTTCCTTAACTATAATACAAACACAGAAAAATGTGAATTATTCTACAGTTTTCTTACTACAAATAGCGTTAATTTGTAAACAGGTTAGTCATTTGTTTCTTGCTTTAAAAGAAGCAAATTAAACTTAGTATATTGATATTAAAGTAGATATTCCTTTGATAAACAACGATAAGAAAATACTGTGATTTTTGAAAACATATCTTGATATTTCTGGCTATGTCGAAGAGAAATAAGCCTTGCTATTATAATGGTCTGTATTTCCATTAAATAATACGGGAACAGTTTAAATTGCTAGTAGAAAGTTTCGTGTAGAATCAATGTACTTACACGTCTTTTACTTTTCACATTATCTGCTTGGCGTTGAGAGCTTTCTCCTATAGACTTAGAGCCCCACAGCTCTCTACCTATCCTAGCGTATGTATACGTCATGGCAATAATTGGAATAAAGTAAGTCACCATCATAAATATAACATTGTAACTGGAAAATAAATAAAGACGTGTTTATAAGATTTTCAATTCTAATCTTACATTAGTAATGTTACTTCTAACTTCATACTAATATTATAAATGCGAATGTTTGGATGTATGGATGGAAGTTTGTTAGAAGATCTCTCTAGAATGGCAGCATAAATCTCGCTGAAATTTGACATAGATGTAGAAAATAAGCCTGGAAGAGCACATCGGCTAATAATTAAGTTTTTATTTAATTCCACGCGGACGGAGTCGCTGGCGGCAGCTAGTTTAATATAAGTAAATTGTACTTTAAGTAAATTTTGAATAACTCTCAGATAGAAAATTAGATTGTAGATAATTTCACTTACATATATTCGATTTCAGATCTTGTAGTCAATCCGTCAGGCCACTCAGAGTAACACACTTCTCTAAAAGAAATGATGTAGAAAAATTGGTTTTGTTTAAAGAAATTAAAGCAATATAGACCTATGATATCTCGAACATGCATTTAAAAACATTGAAAATTAATAGTGTGCTTTGAACGAACAAAGATTTGTCAAATCTTTTCGTGTTTATTATTTGAGGTTTTATGAATTGGTCAAACATTGTCAAACTTGTTTGATCGTTTATTAGAGTCTTGTCTTCTTTTAAAGGTGACGATTAAAATTGACGTTGTTAACCTTTAAATAGGGATGTCATAGACAAAATTATAATTGTTACTTTGTAACCTTTGCAGTTATCTTTGGTCTGTACTTTATTTTGTTAAACTTTGAATAACTTCAAATTTCTTACCTCACACTACCATCAGGCAAATAGTCAAAGTCTGTTGTGAAATAGACAAGATTTGGGCTGCCGATGACAGCACTGCCCACCCAAATGGCTGTCATAATAGCCAGTGTAGCTCTCTTGCCAAGTCTCGGCCGCAAAGGGTTAACTATTGCCATATACCTGTAATAAACAGATCTGTTTCAGGTGGAGATTTAAACAGTCATTCTTCTTTTTTAGATTGATTTGTTTTTAAAGTATATCTTACTAGCAGTCGCCCGAGACTCCGTCCACGCGGAATTAAAACGCAACTTAATTACTAGCCTATGTTCTACATATATGCTACAATTAAGCGAGATCTATGTAGTCGTGTTGGAGATACCTTCAAACATCCATCCATCTAAACACTCGCATTTATATTATTAGTAAGAAGTAAAATTTTAACCGTCTTTTTAAAAAAAGGTATTACTTTTGATATAGGTTTTATTGTAAACATATTTTGAAATAATTATAATTACCCTATAATTTTTGCTACAATGGATTTGACTAATGTTCGAGACAATATTTTTGCCAATGTGACTGCGGTCAAATGATATAAATAACGAAATATGAAACTTAATACATTACCGATCTATACTTATGGCCATTAGTGTAAAAACCGAAGCAGAAATGCTGACGACCGCAACAAATTGATTGAATTTGCAGTAAAAGTATCCGAATGGCCAGTGATTGTATAGCATATAGACGAAGTTTATTGTAACATTTAGTGTGGAAATCATTGCGTCGGCCAGAGAAAGATTCACTAAAATAAAAATAAAATAATCAAAAATCAAAATACTTAAAAAGTATACAAAAATAGGTAAAAGGACACAGAACATAATTTTGACGGAGGATATGACAAATAAGAAGGGGAAATATTCTCTTTCTGTGCATCCTCTACTCCGTCGACTAAAGGTAGACAACGCATCAGCAATTGCAAGTATTTATAGGCAGCGACAGTTTCGCTATTTCGGCGAATTTAAGTGGTCGCTTCCTCGTCACCTTTTAATGTAAAAAAAGAGTCTTAAATATCCAACACAAGTGTTATGATAGTGTAATTGTACTGTTAAACTATTTCGTCATATGTTCGTTTTTCAAAGCGAGTCAGTGTGCTTTCATATAGTTTTTGGAACTGGGAAATTATACCTAGTAAGTAATTAGTGACAGTTCTCATTCTTCTATTCCCAGCAACTATCCAGATGACGACAAAGTTGCCGAGTGTTGCAGCTACCACAATTATGCAGAACAGAATTGACCATAGCACCTGTCGTCCTACTGGTAACATGAAAGGTTGGTACTCCTGTAACAAAATATTAAAATGATCCCTCATCAGAACTCTAGATACTTTATTTGTTTTTTTTTTTAAATATTAGCAGATTTTTTTCTAAATTTACTAATATTTCTTTTCCGATTCCAACTAAGCTCTAAGCTTGTGCTAGGATATGGTTTACGACAATAGTCGTATGTCAGGATTCGAACCCCCGACCTCGTGATCGGAAATCCGTATTCTTAACCATTAGGCTATTGACGCTTAAGTATTAATATTGTTTACAAGCGGATTAAAAGAAAACTTAATTATACGCCTCTGTGTTCTTCCAAATTATATTATCTATGTCTTTCTCCGAGATCCGTTAAGCCGTTCTGGATATATTTAGAAACACACATCCATCCTTCTATCCATTTAAACTTTTGCATTTACAATATAAGAATTAAATTAAATAATGTTTTCATACCTCTGTGTAATTTCCCGTGTCGTTTATATATCTGTTTTTGTCCACATCGTAAAATGTTACAAAGAAATTATTTCCAGTATTATTTAAAACAGATTCATTAATTGATGCATTACTTAAGGATGCCATGATCTGAAATAAAAAAAAAATTAAAATAAAAAAGAATTTTAGCTATTAGGTTCACTAGAATACGAGAATGGCACTTGATGAAATTCCTTTCAGTGAGTTTTCTCATTTTTCTACGGTAGGATCCAAGAATATAGAGACGTAAGTTTGCCTAAGGCCTTTTCTATGGCATTGTTCCATAAGCTATTGTATGTGAAAACAAGCAATACAAAAAAATATTGATATGAAGCTTGATTGTAGTTGGGAATTCTTAGTAGCCCCATTTTTGTTTTTATTTTTTTATGTAAAATATTAGCAGATTTTTTTTGTAAATTTACTAATATTTCTCTAACCATTCCAACTAAGCTCTAGGCTTGTGCTAGGATATGGTTTACGACAATAGTCGAATGGCGGGATTCGAACCCCCGACCTCGTGGTCGGAAATCCGTACCCATAATCATTAGGCTATTGACGCTTCCAATTCCATTTTGACAGAATACTTTTCTTTTGAATATAGAAATCTATTTTAAATGTTAAACAAAAATTCTTTCAAACTATTCTAAGGCACACATATTTAGTTCGTGATTCACATAGAGATAATTTTTCATCAAGTTTTTTTTTTTGATAAATCTTAGATTTAGCTCGCAAAAATGTGTACTATTCTATTTATTTTCGACCACTTTGCGAACGTAAATTGATGATGGTAATTTATTAAGTTTTTTTATAAAAACATCATACATCTAAGTTGTCGGTATTACGAATGCTGAACGCTACATCCCGATCGCTCGTAAACACTCCACTCGTGAAAAGATTTAGTGATTTTTTACACACACGTTTTATAATAAATTTTAATCTGTTGGACGTGAGATGGAAGATTGTGTCTAATGGTTTCAATATGGAACTATACTCGTATATCATTTTATTAAAAAAAAAAAACGTAATTTCATAATCATAATGTAAGCCATCTTGTATTTAACAGACAGACTAGCTAATGCAATCGATTTTATCCTTGTGGACGTCTCTGAGAAAGATACATTTTTCTAAAATCAAAGGTGGTATATGACACACAATTTGTTTTATACACATTTAGCAGTTTCCCGCGACTTCTTCAGCACAGAATTCGAAAAAAAAACCCTATAATATTCTCGCGTGCATCATTCTTTCGCTTTAAAGCGCCGGCAAAATTAAAAAAAAGGTGGGTGTACGAAATATGATATTTTTTATTACTTACAGATTTCGATATTACATACAGACGATCCAATTTCATTATACGTTATAATGTATCATTATCAGTTTAGCCATTAAGGCGAGTTAACACACATCTAGAAATTAGTTCTAACATTTAGGTTCATAACATTAGTAAGTACTATAATGTCCTTCATATCATAGAACGTCGGTGGCTCAGTGGTCAAGCACTTGACTTGTAATTTGCAGGTCCTGGGTTCGAATCCCGCCATGTACCAATGTGTTTTTCGATTTCCGATTTACATATGTACATTTATCCGACGTTCTTACGGTGAAGGAAAACTTCGTGATGCAACCTGCACATATCTGAGAAGTAATTCAAAGATATGTGTGAAGTCCACCAACCCGCACTTGGCCAGCGTGGTTTTGACTATGGCCTAATCACCCTTAACTTAGGGTAGGCTCCGAGCCCCTCGGAGGGGACAAATAGTGAGCTGATGATGCTGATGATGATGATGATATCATAAAATGGTATCTTATAAAGAAATAAATTGTAAAATTCTATAAATATTGGTAAAAGCAGTCAATTTCAAAGTAAATTTCAATGTAAAGATTTTAATGCGTCGTACGCAAATCGCATTAAAATGTGGTTTATGTTCCATTTCCTCGATATCAAGCAATAACAGGAAATATAATATGGTGACGTTTGACACTCTTTGAGACACGGTATGTTTTGTAAATCACATTTATTAATTTTAAAATATAGAAGCGTATTAAATGCTTTGTTTAATCATATAGAAAGTTCAATACGTTTACATTCTAGCATTCACTAAAACAAAAGCATAAAATATGCTGTTTGTGGTGTGTGAGGCCATAGTGGAAAACAATACAGTTATTTCTTTAATTTGTATGTCTTTCTATGTAAATATTTTGCAGTGACTAGAAGGTAAATAAAGAAGAAATCAAAATCTTATTTTTTTTAATTGTTTATAAAGTATATCAACGTCTTCGGACTTCTAATCGGCATCACACTTAGACTTCGCCATAACATTCTATCTTTATAAACTCGAGTAAGTTACACGCAGTTATGAAATTATTTATCAATTATCGATTAAATTCTTCATACTTTTGTGAAACCTAATAATAAATTTATTAGGAACGGCTTAACTCACGTATTATCGTCTGGTAACGGCACTGACAAGTTTCGGACCGTCAGTGGTCCATCCAGGGCGAGTGTTTGTTTAGGGTTTAAGATAGGTGCCGTCACCGGACGTTCATACGTGACTGAGCCGTTCCTAATTAATAATTATCGATTGTTTATAAAAATAAAGATCGGTTATTATTTGAAGATTAGTCTACATATCAAGAGATTTTTATAGTTAAGATTTTTGTAGTTTAAACGTATTACACACTCATCGTTTTCTCAAAACTGATTCACCTCGTTTTTATAAGCCATATGGGGGATTTAACTTTGTTTATATTCAACATAAGGTAGGTTTCATTTCTTTGCCGGTATGCGATATTTATGTTGCATGATTTCATTGAAAATAAATTATGTTTATAGTTCGTTATAACATAAAGCTTGATAAAAATAGACTAAGTACTATGATCGTATTTCCTTAATAAAGGGTAAGTAGAAAGAAGTATAAATAGGTCTTTTTAAGTTCAAATTAAACTGAATTAAAAATAGTTTTCATCTGTTTACCATACTGTTATTTATAATCAAATAAGTATGTAAGAAAGAAAATGTGATAGTGTATTGACGCAACACTAGCCTTACTAAAATGTCGACGTTTATGTCCCCTCACTATTCATTCTGACACTAGACTTTGTAACGAATGCACGTCATTCGCACCAAATGATTCTAAAAGTATATTGTAAAAAGTACAATCCACAAAAAGAAAATCTGTCAAGAAGTTTGTTAAAACAAACGATTCGCTCCAAAAAACATGTCTTTTAAGGAAGTTGCAGTTACGTTTTCTTTACTTACTTTTGAATAGATAAAGGTTGTTTAGTGGAAAAAGGGTTTATTAAACATTCTGATACAAAGTTTCCCTCCGTACTTCCGTTACGTAAATCACTCACGCCTACAGACGATCATTCAAGTGATATTCAATGAACGGACATCTGTATACACGGACTGCTTGGACGTCTGCCAATAGATGCCCTACCATATGTTATTATTAATGCTTATGAAGTTACGATAATATTTAATTCTTAGTCATTTTTTAGGGTTCCGTACCTCATAAGAAAAAACGGAACACTTATAGGATCACTTTGTTGTTCGTCCGTCTGTCTGTCAAGACCCTTTTTCTCAAAAACGCTTGAAGGCATCAAGCTGGAATTTATTTTTTGTTTACATCACAGTTACAAAACTAAAGAGCGTAATAAGCATTTTTCTGTGAACGGCCACACTCAGAGGTTAATGTGTCTTTTTAGTAGTGAAAGCTATAAAATATCTTGCTTTTTATATTTACTTAAATTACACACATTTTATTTAATTAAATTACACTTTAAAATAAATTGAAAACAATAAAGGAATTATTGAACTATACACATGCAACTTGTACTATAACAATTGCATTTTGAACATTTCGTTTGCTCTACAAAGGTAGAGAACTAAATTGCCGGAACTTACTTTGTAGAGCTTTAGACCAAGACGATACGACATGCTGCTCAAAGCTTGCTCTATTCAACTACATTATATGCTAATATAACTTTAAAAGAAGCTTTTGTTACTTGTTTGGACTTTAGTTTACGTCTTAGCTTCTTTTTACTCTTGTTTTTTTTATTCTTGTTACTTTGTACAATTGATAAACAATTCCTTCTTACTATATTAGAAATGCAAATTATTGGATGAATGGATGGATGGATGTTTGTTAAAAGTTATCTCCAGGACAGCTGTATGGATTTCGCTGAAATTTGTCATAGACGTATAACATAGCCTGGAAGTACACATGGGCTACTTATTAAGTTTTTTTTAAATTCCGCGAGGCCGAAGACGCGGGTGACAGCTTGTATATTATAAATATAATTTTTTTTTAAATCTTTTTTTTTGGGATTTTTGTCCATATCGGACATGTCAAATCCATAGTGCCCTTCCTTTTAATAAACGAGCTGGCATAATCGTACCGCCGCGATTGAAGTCGGGTCTGACAGAATGGAAAAAAACTAGGCCAACATCATATAAATTAACTTTAATTTCTGTAAATAGCAGCTCACGATCCCGCCTGTTTTTCTCACACTCCAACAGCAAGTGATGGACATCTTCGGGCTTCCCACATGTCTCACAATTAGGTGACATGGTTTTTTCCTTAGATATCCAAAACTTGCTGTTGGGTAGTGAAATATAAAAAAAATAATGTTTGCACGTATTTCCCAGTAGCGATATGTGAAAACATTTTTACAAGATATGATTCGAAATTGATTCAAAACCGAAAAATTTGGATTAAAATCTGTTTAAAATATATTGTTTTCAACGTTCGTCAAAGATAATAACAGACATGACAAGATGTTTTGTACAGAGATTTTAGTCTCGGAAACATTGGGTTAATTATTTTGCGACTAATCGTTTATTACTCTTTCAATGAGTGTAAGAAATCATTTGAAATAATTCTGAAACATTTATTTACTTCTCGGAACTTGTCTAAAGTGATATTTAGAATTGACGCCTTTGATCAAATACTTTAGTCGTTTGCTTTAATGTATTGCGAGAATTGATATTAATATTCAGAGGAAATGACGAATAACTCCAACTTATTGAGATCGAAATTTGTTACAATTGTTTTATTATTTTGCTCTAGATTTTATAACGTTATACAAACTTGCAAATGTAATTCCTTGATTTTAATATAAATATAACTAATTTGTTTATTTATTTATACATAGCTGTCGCCTGCGACTCCGGCCTGGCGGATTAAAAAAAAATTAATTAGTAGCCTATATGGTCAGCCATGCTATATTTTACATCTATGCCGAATGTCAGCGAGATCCATGCCGTTCTGGGGATGCCTTCTAACAATCATTCATCCATCCATCTGTACACCTTAACACCATTGGATGGAGGGCACTAGAAGGTAAATTAGTTCTGAGATGTCCAATAAAACGCATCTGTTCGTGTTTATCATAATTTGTTTAAGATCGAACATTACTAGACTAGATTTGTATAATTAGTTATCAATTAAGATAAGAGACAGATAATTAGTAATTAAAGGATGATCTTTTATGATTTCTATTTTTTTTTTTTATAAAATATTAGTAGATTTTTTTTGTAAATTTACTAATATTTCTTTTACCATTCCAATTAAGCTCTATGCTTGTGCTAGGATATGGTTCACGACAATAGTCGAATGTCGGGATTCGAACCCCCGGCCTCCTGATCGGAAATCCGTATCCTTAACCATTAGGCTATTGACGCTTAATTCATTTTGCAAATTTTTAAGATAGATATCGGTCTTGCTGTTGATAGAGCCTCTTTAGTTATTCTACGGTCCTAGGGTGTTGTAAAATCTGTGACTAGGATATAAACCATGATATGATATAAACCAATTTATTTTTAATGTTTCCAGATAAAATACAAATATTTATTTTACACTTTAAAAATTCCGGCGTTTTCTATTTTATTAGATTTTTTTCGCAAGCCACCAAGCGCTTGACAGATCAAACCGGAGATGTTTATTTAAAATGTCTTGAAATGTAACTGAAGTATTTATTTAAATAATATATTTGAAATTTTGAGTATTATAGCGTCTCGTAAATTTCAAAAAAGGAATAAGTTAAGTAATACATAAGGATTTTGATATTTTGACATTTATATTGTTAAATTGAACCACCTTTAATCTAACGTCCACAGAATTAAAACACTTTAAGAATTTTCCAGATATTTGAATAAATCTAATAATTTTAATCTACTTTAAATCTCTCCATGGTTGCAATAAGCAACTTATTTTCGCATAACGTATTTGTGGTCTAACGTTGTACACGTATTTTTGGGACACCCTGTTTTATATCAGGAAATTCAATTTGTGTACTGAAAAATCGGTTTCATACTGTCACCAATAAAAATATATAAAAAATTATGGACAACATAAATATTTATTAGACCAAACACATTAATGTATTTGTTTGCTTTTTTACAAGGGGATGTTAGTTTAGTTTGTCGGCAACATACAGTATCCAGAACACATTAATTCCGCTGTTAACCGATCTGTTTATAACTTTATATGCCACGAGGTTTATATGACGTACTTTCCCTTTCAGTTCATTGTTTAAAGACAAAGAAAATCGAAGGTTTATGACCGGAGATTATATCCTCGTTTACACCAATGGTAGAGCCCGCTTTAACATCTTCGTATGAATTGGCTCGGCTCACCCGGTGAAATACCACGACCACACAGAAGACAGGCGTGAAAGGAAGCGATTCATTTCGTCTGATCAGTTTGCGTCTCGGAGGCCTAATTTTAATCCTCTTTCCCTTTCCACCCTTTTTCTTATAAGAAAGAATGGGAAGTGGAAATGGACTATCCGGATGAGAAGATGTCTCTGTCGGTTAACGGTAGGCAACGCACATGCAATTGCGTATGACTAAGGACAACGGTCGCTTCGCTATTTCAGCGATTTCAGTTGGCCACTCGCTCGTTTGCCAGCTTTTGATATAAAAAACTTTTTTCCTTAAGTTTCTTTGCTGTGTTTGGTTTTTTTTGTAAGTTAATTTAGTTTAATATAATTTCAATTATCAAAATGGCTATATGACTTTAGCTATTACGAACTTTTTATTTCATAGCTTCTTTGACTACTATAAAAATATTATAAATCTTATAAATTAAGTAATAAATTTATTGAATGGACCATTAAATACAACAAAGGAATACAAGTAATAAATGTTAAAAGTAGAAAATCAGTACAACATGCGACTATAAAAGCAATTTCCTCAATGGAAACGTTTGGAAGAAAAGAAAATATCGAAGAAAAATAAAACTAACTTCAAGAAAAATACGATATATGACCGGGATTAAAAATCACTGAACGTTGAAACCAGGATAGCGCGTATTACTAAAGCAAAGACAGGGATGGCCAACATTTACGTATTAATGTTGCTATTGTTAGGAAGAAAATCCGACACTGTGCCGGTGTATCAACGCAATACTAGCCTTATTAAAATGTCGACGTTTATGTCCCCTCACTAATCTATCTGACACTTGACTTTGTAACGAAAGCGCGCCATTCGCGCCAAATGATTCTAATAATATCTAAAACTATATATCTAAACAATTGTTTATTGAAGTTGTTGACGTGTGATAACATAATTCTCACTTTGTGATTATATCGCTGTATAATATATATTGAATAATCACGACTACAATCAGTGATGTGCCCAAAACATTGTCTCATCATCAGCTCACTATACTTCCCCACCGAGGGCCTCGGAGCCTACCCAAAGTTAAGAGTGATTAGGCCATAGTCAACCACGCTGGCCAAGTACGGGTTGGTTGACTTCACACATATCTTTGAATTACTTCTCAGATATGTGCAGGTTGCATCACGATGTTTTCCTTCATTGTAAGAACGTCGGATAATTGTACATATTTAAATCGGAAATCGAAAAACACATTGGTACATGACGGGATTCGAACCCAGGACCTGCAGATTGCAAGTCAAGTGCTTGACCCCTGAGCCACCGACGCTCTCTAAAAAATTGTCTTGCGTGCCATTAATGGTACACGTTCCATATGTTCACCATTCCTGGTCTATGACGAGGAAGAAAGAGAAAATAGCGGGAAACTAAGGGAGAGGCACTTAATTGTAATATAAAAATATAGAAAGTTTAAATACAAAAGAATTTAACCCTTAATTCGACGAAATTTTTTGTAGCAAAAAACTGTTTTTTTTTTTAGGTAAAGTCATACTTACGTAATTTTCTCTAAACTAGTTCAGTAGATTTTTTTTTAATTAGTTGTTCGTCACACTGGACACCATCGAATTAAGGGTTAAGTTTAATTTAACTACGTAAATATTTTCGTTAAATACAAAAAAACCGTTTTACTTACCTCTATATTGTAGATTCACTAATATTGTAATAAAAATTAAACATCTTTGTTTATCACTTCATTTTACTTCGTTGTTGCGCACTTAAAATAATATATTTGACTTATCACATATCTTGCACTATTATAGTAAACAAATATTATCTATATTATAAATATGTAGTACGTTAAATATACTAGAAATAAAATATTTTGCATTTTACAATTAGTGTTGACTCGACGGACTCGTATCACGGAGTGAGCCTAAAACATGTTCAATCGATCTCTTGCGCAGATTTAGAGTGCGTTCGCGTATTAAATTTAGTACCATGTTATAAAATGCTTTCAACATTAAGCCTATGGTTGAATTTTTGCGAATAAACGATATTTTAATGCTATTGAAAGAGTAGAGTAGCGTTTTCAACTCTCTGCTGGTTGGATCTTTATTTATTTAAATAAAAAATACATTGTCCTCTTTTTAGCAATGAAAAGGTTTAAGCATGGAAAATAATTCATCCTTTAACTATCAATTGTATTTTTAAATTGTGTTTTATTTTATTTAGAACATTTTAAAAAGAAATACAAAAAAATCGAGATAAATATAATAGTTTATCCTATTATGACAAAGCGTGTTCCAAATTTAAAAACAAATAAAATGGATTATCAGAGTTTATTTCATACGATAAGCGTTATCGTTAAAGTTGGTTTAATAATAGAATTTAAAGTTGATATAAACATGATAAATATAAACTGATAAGATTATAACTAACATAAAATCAGAGAATCTTCGATAGAGCAAATTTTTGCGTGTGTAATGTAATATTACGACGTGTTTTAGATATCATACTTCTTACTTATCTTACTAATATTTTAAATGCGAATGTTTAGATGGATGGATGTTTGTCTGAAGATACCTCCGGAACGGCTCAACGGACATTGATGAAATTAGGCAGAGTGTTGAATATAGTCTGGAAGAACACACAGGCTACTCCCCAATCCGGTAATAATAACAATGTAACAGCCCCAGCCGAGGTTCCTGAGGGAGCCCTTGAGCTCAGTTAAAACGAGGTTTAGGCTAAGTGCCATCTGTGCTCGGCCACCTCAAGCCCGGTGAAGCTGAAAATGCCTCTTCAAGGCAATTCAGTCACAAAAAAAATACAGGCTACTCATAAAGATTTTTTTTAAATCTCGCGCGGACGGACTAGCTGGTGACTGTTAGTAATATTATAAATGCGAATGTTTTTATGGATGGATGTTTTTTTGAAGGTATCTCGTGAACAGCTGCATGGATCACGCGGAAATTTGGCAGAGTGTAGAACATAGTCTGGAAGAACACAGGCTACTCATCAAGTGTTTTTATAATTCCGCGCGGGCGGAGTCACGGGCGATAGCTAGTATATTATAAAGAAAATATTATTATTTCCTTGTTCTTTTGTTTTTTCATTGAATAGGCTCCGAAATTACCGACTTGAATATGGAATTATGTTTCATACAGATGTTTTGGTCAGCTAATTAATAAGTAGCTTTATTTAAAACAACTATATGTTTCTACACTATATGATAAAAAAATCTTTCGCAGTAGAAAGAGTGAGTAATGTTACAGACAATCTGTTTAAAATGCCATGAAACAAGTATATTGTGTCCTCTGACAGTGATATATGGGCGAAACGGTGCACCGTAATACGACGGAATGAAAAAAGACCTTGTAGATTTATGCCTTGAACAAGAAAATATTAAAAAAGAAACAAAGTACACGATAGACGTGACAACAAAAATGTGACGATATTTAACACTAACTAAGATATAAATTAGAATCAATTGCTTATCTCGTTAAATGAATTTCAGTTTTAATTTAATTATAAGATGGCTCTAGTTAGTGCATTTGCAATACTGGAGCCTAGTACCAAACCCCCCCCTTGCTAAGCTACGCTTACATTCTATTCTCGAGGGACACTAAGTCGCAGTTCTAAATAGCGAAACCGAAAGCGAAAACCTCGAGTATCTAGATTTCAAACGAAGGCTTATGAATCGCCCGCGACTCCGTCCACGCGTAATTAAAAAACACATAATTAGTAGCCTATGCGTTCTTCCTGACTATGCCAAATTTCATCACAATCCCTTGAGCCGTTCCGGAGAAAATCTTCAAGTAAATATACATCTATCCATCCAAACTTTCGCATTTATAATATTAGTAAGATGAAATCAATTGTAAAAGTGTACAAGAGAAGAAATATGCAAATAGTATATAAGTTTTACGAATGTATCATACAGTGACTTCACTCAGGTCGAATATAAACGAAACATTTTCATTTATTCTCGTTACCGTGAAAACTGCTGGGATTAGCATTTTAAATTTCCGACTCCAAAATAATTAGAACTCTTAGTTTTTCAATTCCTAGTTTTTAATTTATTTAACGAGGATTTCATGTCAATTATGACAGAGATTTTTATACCAAAGTTGATAATAATAAACTGTAAGGAAAAAACCAAAACTTTCCTAATATTACATCATATGTATAAAATTTGTTTAAAATTTAAAAGTTTCAAAGTTCATTGACATCCCATGAATAAATGAATAACTCAAAAATACGACAATATTCTAACTATTAATTATTAACATATCTTTAATAAATCAAATGGAAATTGCTTCAGTATTACTTAGGGCAGACCTTTATTTAGCATAAGTTTTAGGGTCGCGGTACCCTTATAATATAGTTAAGTCATTAATCGTCGTTAAACGAGTCAAAGTCGAATCTCCGATAGCTTAATGGTTTTTGGTATGGCGCACTAAACTTTAAGACCAAGGTTCCTATCTATTATTTGAATTTATTTTTATGACAGTTTAACTAAGTTCATATAAATGAGATGTAAATTTTTCTTTAGCTTGTTACTATTATGGAAGAAAAAGTTGTCACACGCTACTCCATTCGCGGGGGATAAAAAAAACTTAATAAGTAGTCTATGTGTTCTCCCAGACTATATTCTACATCTATTTCAAATTTCAGGAGGATCTGTATACCAGTTATGGAGATACCTTGGAAAAATATTCCATCTATATATTCGCATTTATAATATTAGTAAGAAGAAACATTAGTAAGATATGTTTTCTATTGTAGACTGTAGCGATACGATTGGTCTTTTTCTATAACGTCTTGAAAATGTTAGTCCTTATTATGCATTCTTAAGACACTTCGTAGTCACTGTTATCGTAATTATGTACTTCAAGTAAAACGTTCTATGTTTTTATCAAAAACTTTCCTGCGCATAAGATTCTTATAATATACAAAAAAATATATTTACAAACAATATTATTCTATATTACACAAGTTTAAAAATGTCAGAAAAGTTAAACTCAATTTTTGTCCTAACTTTGTGAATGTCCCAATGTTGTAAGGCGCCATATGTCAAAAAGGTTGACTACCCGTCGCATCTGTCTGATTTAATAAACTTACTTTTTTTCTATTAAAATAACCAAGTCTAATAACGAAAAAAGCAATGATATAAATAGCATTTTTAGGATTATTACAGGACCTCATAAATTAAGATATTTTTAATAAAAATTTAGTTCAGTAATTTGATTAACAATTTTATATCAAAGTTTACTCAAACGTAACGTTAAATTTATTTGAATTATTCTAATGCTTAAATCTATTTCGTTGACTATTTGTTAACGCTTGAATTATTTTGATAGAAAATAATCGGAGTATTTGAGAATTGTCGTTGGTTAACAAGAAAATACATTTGTGGTTACAGATTTGGTAGGATTTTATAAAAATACGTAAGTAATATAATAAAGTTATGGGCATTTTGATATTAATGGAAGTGAACGATGATAAAAGATAAATGGAAAGTGATAAAAAGAAATCTTATGTTATTTATTTGTCCGTAACTACAGAAATAATTCCATATTTTTCTACAATTGACCATCGTAACTTATAAAATACTCTGCCAAAATAAAAGATTTTTCAGTAACATAAATTATGGTACGTTGAAAGCATGTCTATTAGGGCGATTACCTAAATCTTCGCTTTTATTTACGACTTATTTCGAGTAGAAATTGTAGGTATTTTTTGTAGAAATTCCTTAATTTGTAATAGGAAGGAAACCCGAAAATGTGGCAGTTTATTGACCCAACACTAGCCATACTAAAATGACGACGTTTACGTCGCCTCACTATTCATTCTGACACTGGACTTTATAACGAACGCACGTCATTCGCGCCAGAGCATTCTAATTAATAATGTCTAAAATTTGTTACATTAGAAAAGATTGCGGTTAAAAAATTGTGTAAAACTTCACTTCATCTATATTTAAAATTAAACTAAGCTGCAAATATACAAATCGCACAATATTCGATGCATTTTCATGCAAATAAAGTTGTCGCGTAGCGGTGACACGACAACTGCATTATGTCGCAATAGTAAAGCCAGCACGACAACGCTATTGTTAGTTTCACATGAAGGCATAACAATAAAGTAGTACAATTGAACATTGCAGTACACTGCGAAAACAGAACAGTTTTTTAATATTTTGAATAAACCAGTGCTTAGCAACAAACCAACTTGATAGTAAATACCTATTCATCCTACACTTGAAGGCACCCATGTCATAGCTGGACGGAAACACTGGCAACTTGTTCCAATCCTTTGCTGTGCGCACGTGGAACAATGTCTCAAAGCGTTTTGTTCGAACCCGTAGCACATCAACTATGAAAGGATGGAGACCCGCCGTACATCTGAACGTCCGATGGTAAAAAGGGGATGGAGGAACTTGGTGTAATTTCTGCGCATACTCCCCAAAGTGTTACTATAAGCCACCATTATGTCTTACCATGAGTATCCAAATAGTAGCAGCACTTGTCGTACTTGACTGCTTTACTGTTACTACGTGTACCCTCGTGTGAAACTAGCATATCTAACCTTTGGATATGCCTGTCGCCTGTTAGAGATTACATCTGTTATTTAAATGAAACAATTTATATACGGCATTCGTAACATTTTATGTCAACCTATAAGTTACTTGCTAAACTTGAAACTAAGGAAAAATTGTTTTTATTTTTAATTTTTAAGTAATAACATAGATATAAGACATGTTACTAACTAGATATGGTTGTAAACTTTGTATAACGTTTTTTTTTTATTTTCTTTTTATTTATTTCTAGCTGTCGGACGCGACTCGTCTGTTGGCCGATTCTCAGACCTACACAATATGCTCACAAAATTTTATGAGAATCGGTCAAGCCGTTTCGGAGGAGTATGGAAACGAAAATTGTGA